CCCCAAAACCCCAAAACCCCAAAACCCCAAAACCCCATTCCGGATGTATAAATTCTAATAATAAAAATAAACTTCATCTTACAAAAATGGACACTAGTAGTCCCCAAATGCTCAACCCAACCTACATCGAAATCTTCGGAAAATCAGAATCCGCCATGCGTGCTGGTAACCTTCGTCTAAATCTCTAGAATCCCTTGAAATGTGGAGAGATTTGAATTACTCCAAAGCTCTTACAGTAAGAATCCCAGCTAGTCCATGCTGAAAATTTGCCATCTTCTAATATGTTATCAAAGCTAACATTTAGGATGAAAATGTAGCCAAAACCTAATGAGACTCAACCGGGCGGTCATTGTGGTCCACCCCTTCATACTTCAAATATGTACTTTCTTCCGTTTATATTCAGGAGACAAGTCCAAGACAGGCTCTTTAGACTCCTTTGGAGACTCTAATTCCCAAAAATAGTAAGGGAGGACTCCATGAATTCAACGTTAAGCAATTTGTGGCTAAATAAAGTCGACAGATGTAAGATAGGTTACAAAACTAGAGCTTAGAGACCAGATAGACACCTTTAAACATATTTTAAGCATTCTAACGGGTTATTTATAGGTAGTAAGTTGAGGAAGAAATTAGAAATTAAGTTGATCGAAGAAAGTGAGGATGAAGGAATCAAACATGGAGTTAAAGGTGAGGAGAAAATGTTTGATAATTTTTACGAAAGTTATGGAAGAGATAAGGAATAGATGAATAATTATATTATACTCATCAAATTTACAGGGAAAGAACATTTTATTTGTTAAGAATCAATTTTCTAATAAGTGTTAATACAAATGAACATTTTGAACATAGTCTCCAAAACATTATCTTACCCAATCCTTAATAAAACCCAAATCAACATCTCTATGCTTCAAACTCAAGGACCTACATAAATTCAAAAAAAAAGCCTCAAAATAAACCCCTTCATCTATCCAAAAAAAACGCTTCTAACTAATTTTCCACAGCTATGAACCCCTCATTCCAGCCAATTTCCAAAGCAGAGCCATTCTCCAACACTTTAAAAGACTTCAGGGCTTGCTACAAGGCTCTTCAGGCCCATAAATAAGCTAAAGAAAGGTAAGAACCCCATTTTTTCACTTGTCTCGGCTGGCTAACACTTGTAGATATCAACCACAACTCACGGCTCTTCAAGGAAGTCTATGGGCTCCTGAACGGCTCAAATGTGAACAGTAAACAGATGAACAAATTCCTTCAGGAAAACCCTGATTTCCTGCGGAAATCAGTTAGTTCCACACTGAAAGATTTGATCAAGATGTCAAAGTTCAATTTTGGAACTTCAGGCCTCTCTGAGATGTTCCCTGCTTCGAAGAACAAGGTCATAAGGAACAACAAAAGTTGTACGGCTAAATATTCTAAATCATTCGGACGAAATGCAGCAAGAAGTTTGAGCAGAAACCGACAGCATGGAGATACGATTGATGCTGAAGCATCTAGCGGTAAGCCTTACAGAGCCTATGGTTGAGAAATAGTCTGGGATAAACGTACCAGAGAGGATAAATTAGGGCAGGTTGATCTGTACAATTTGAGAATACCCATGCTCTAGTTGAAAGATGGTGTTAGCCAAAACTACAGTTTTATTAACCATGGGTTGCTTTTAGTTGCTTATAAAGCATAGCACCTTATCTTCTCATTTAAGCAGTATCAAATTTGATATAGACACAAATGGGCATAAAAGAAGTAAACTAGGTAATAAAATTAATTAAATTGTAGCCAAAATAAAGGAAGGCAGGAGAATAGTTGAAGATAAGCAAGACACAACCCAAGACCGTATCTTCAACCTCACTGATATCAAGAAAATAAGTGGACTAAAGCCGAAGACTAAAGTAATCTAATACCAGCCACAAAGTTCAATGGACTTCGAAAAGCAAAGCTTTGCTAAAATTTTTGTTAATCAAGGAAAATTGGTCTCAAAAATTCCTGACTTCCCTTAAGGCCATTTTCAGTTAGAAAAATCAAAATTTAAAAATTCTTCACCAATCCTGACATCTATCTAGATGCATAAATTAGCCTTTAAAATTTTCAAAAATGGGCTTGACAAGATTGCAATCGACGATGTAACAGAACCTGAAAGGAAGGCTCCAACTGAAGAAGATTATGATTACGTAAGCAGTGTTTCACAGTAGTAAAAATTTGTTTAGGTCTTCAAAGGGAACAAAGACCTCACCTTCAAAATGCCTGAAGAGCTCTGGAATTACACTATCCCAAAGTCTAAAGTAGAGAAGAGCATTGACAAGCTTAATGCGAGGATGAAACTCGCCTTGAAAATGAAACTTTCAAGAAATTTGACTCAATCCCGCTTTGAGTCCTACAAATAAGCAAGTTGAATCCGAAGAAAAAGTTAAAATTAATCAGACTTTACCAGAAGTTAATGTAAAAGAGAGAATCCTTGATCTCAAAAAGAGCTTGTTTGGTAATAAGCTCTCTTCAAGTGAATACTACACTGACTCTAAGTATACCTCCATTCCTAAAAATAGGTTGGTTAACATCCAGACCAACTCTCAGTCTCCGTTAATGAAGACCCCAGGGTAAGCTAGGTTAGATGAATTTGTAGCATAATCCCTCAAAAATCAGCCTCAACTGCAGAGAAGATCAAGACTAAGTCTTTAGGCCTTCACTTTGACAAAAGATCAAATAGTATTAAAACGTTCGGCTACATGCTTCAGAGGTTCAACAAGAAGAAGAACAATATTGTCAAACTTGAAAATTTCCTGAAAAAGATCAAATTTGCCACATCCCAACCAACGAAGCCTTTGTAGAATAGATTTTTGCTGATATTTCAACCACCCAGATATTTTAGGGGTTTTGGGGTTTTGGGGTTTTGGGGTTTTGGGG